CACACACACACACACACACACACACGCAAGCATGCTGTTATTTGCTTTGTGTGCATACAGCTTGGTGTTTGCTTTTTTTCTTTTGGAGTAATGTTTTATTTTGTTTTCTTGGTTTGGGGGCGGTTTGTTTGTTTTTGAGAAAGAAATTAAAGTTGGGTGGGTTAGGGAGGCAGAGAGAACCTGCAAGGACTTGGGGGAGGTGAAGAATATGAATAAAATAAATATAAATTTATAAATTGTTTTAAATAGTAAAAAAGTATGTCTTTAATTCCAGCACCCAGGAGGCAGAGGCAGGTAGGTGGATGTCTGTGAGTTGGAGGCCAGCCTGGTTACAGAGCAAGTTCCAGGACAGCCTCCAAAGCCACAGAGATATCCTGTCTTCAAAAAAAAAAAAAAAAAAAAAGCAAGTTAATATTTGGTGGCTCTGGTCCATGATCCACTTCCTAAATGACTTTAGGGTTGGTTATCTTTTCCAAGAGGGACTATCAGAATAGCAATAAAGGCTCATTAAAGGGAAACTTCTGGCCAAGAGAACAGAATCTCTGGCTTGGGTAGACTTACACTCCAGCATAGCAGGTCTCATCTGACCAAGGTACCAGAAGGAGGGACAACTGCTAGGAAGACACACTAAGTCGTTCTAAACACATGCACTGACCTGGGCATGTTGGTACATACCTTTAATCCTAGTACTTGAAAGGCAGGCAGATTCATGTGAGTTCAAGTCCAGTATGGTCTACTCAGTGAATTTCAGGACAGCCAGAGCCACATAGTGAAAGCCTGTCTCAAAATAAAAACAAACCCAAAATGAGATACTGTACTTTCCCCCCAATTCCTGCGTCCCTCCCATAGTCCCTACAAGCTGCAAGAGGGTTGTCGTTAGGCTCTTTGGCTCTGTCAACTTTCAAAATGTAACGTTTCCTTCTCCTTTTGTTTATCTTGCAGATGTCTGCCAAGTCCTAAGAATGCTTTTTCTGATATTTTGGGATTCTGTCCTCTTGCTCTAAAGTCTTCCTGTCTCTCTTGTCACCATGTGTCTGACCTCTATGCATGCTAAGCTCAAACATCATGCCTCCCCCCTCTTCTATTCTCCTCCAGGCAGCTTCTGAGATTTACTGCTTGCCTACCTTAGGGGAGGGGAGCCATTTAAATTCTAACAAAATTGTCTTTCAGCTTAAAAGAATATAACTTTGTAATTATTTTTTATTATTATTATTTTACTCTTTTGGCTCTTGGACATTTGCCTCTTTGGCTGTCTTGCCATCCAGCTCCCAAATAATCACATGGAAACTTATTCTTTCTTATGAAAACCCAACCTTAGCTTGGCTTGTTTCTAGCCAGCTTTTCTAACTTAAATTATCCCATCTACCTTTTGCTTCGGGTCTTTTATCTTTATCCTATATACCTTTCTTTCTTACCCCATGGCTTGCTGTGTAGTCTTTTCTCATTCCTTGATCCTTCCTCCCAGATTTATCCCTCTATTTATTCTCTCTGCCTGCCATGCTCACTTATCCTTTCTCCTGCCTTCCTATTGGCCATTCAATTCTTTATTACACCAATCAAGACAGGCACAGGAACACAGCTTTACAGTTAAACAAATGCAACATAAAAGAACTCAAAACATCTTTGCATCATTAAAGAAATGTTCCACCACATAAACAAATGTAACACATTTTTAACTAATGTTCTATAACATTTCCCCCTTTTGTCTAAATAAAAATGAAAGGTTTTAACTTTAACATAGTAAAACTATATACAACAAAACAATTATCAAGAATTATATTTACAACATTCAGTCCACTTGTATTTAGCATATTCAGACAAAATATTGTTATCTATCCTATCTTAGTGAATCCAAACTTTTATGCCTAATTTACTTTCAATTATAACTAAAACTGCAACTGTAACTTGTCTTCAACTCCATCAAAGACCCAGAAGGATGTAACATTACCTAACAACAGAGAAATCTTGCTACCTGGGCAGTAACAAAAAGTTCTTCTGCAATATTGGGGCACCCAACTTCGGCCTACAGGCCTAGAGTATCTGGTAAACTTTTCAGTAAAGCAGGAGATTTGAAGGACTGCCTCACCTTACATTGGTAAAATTCATTAGTTGCTTTCCTCTGTGTCCTGCAGAATGTCTGGCAGACTCTTTTGTGAAACAGGAACACTAAAAGACCATCCCACCTTGTTTTGATGAAGTTTACCAGTCACTTTCCTATGGGTCCTGCATGTGCAGTTTATACAGCATAGTGTCAAGCAGTCAAGGCAAAAGTAGTTTCTTTGCCCAGTGGTAATCTTGCCACAATGAAAGCAAACTCTGTAAGGAATTTCTTCAATTCCTATCATCTGAAGTAAACTGGTGCTGCCAGGAGCAGACATGTGTCATTGTCATGAAAACCCCTATATTAACAAAACATTTAAATGCCATATTCTATAGGTGTTTGAAGACCATCTATATAAAATATATCTCTGTATGATTTTGAAAACATGCCTAACATATCTACACATTTGATTGTTATAGATGACTACTAACCTATATTTCTTGATTATCCTAAGTAGTTCATAGTAATAGCTTTTAAAAACTAGAATTGTGGTGCTGAAGAGATGGCTCATCTGAGCACTGGCTGCTCTTCCAGAGGTCCTGAGTTCAATTCCCAGCAACCACATGGTGACTCACAGCCATCTGTTATGAGATGTGGTGACCTCTTCTGGCCGGCAACGATACATGTAGGCAGAAACGTGTACATAATAAATAAATAAATCTAAAAAAGAGCAACACATCTTTAAAAAAACTAGAACTTTACGTTACATTTTAAAATGAACTGCAAGGTACAATACCTTAAACAAGAGCAGAAACATCTATACAGTGTGACAAAAATAACTTTAAATTTGTATCAATATACTCTGTTTCCCTAATAACAAATATCCATAACCCATCAAATAACCAACAGCCACCTGCACCATTTATTGGGAATGTGGGCATCATTTTCTCTAGACTGCTTCCTGTTGTCTGTGAACAAAGCATCTTTAGGGGTCCCTGAGAAAAACTGAGATAAAGGTCAAGTCCTGGGATGACCAGCAGTAATCTTTTGTTGTCCCATCCTGCAGGACGTCAATCTGGGGCAATAGAGTCAGGGATAGGGAATGGGGACAAGAGACACAGAAAGAACGACCACAAGACAGGATTCTGATCAAGTGGCAAACTTTACTTTTTTCTCAGGCTAGTTTATATAGTCGGCAGAGCAGGATATGGGGAGGGATAGAATGGGTTGTTTGTAAGACAGGTGTTAGTGTAGGCAGGATATTAGGAAGCCACAAAGAGGATGTTTGGTAGGGTAAAGAGTTTATGAGTAAGAGGTCCAGGAAGGGTTGCCTAGGTGACTGAGCCTATGGGTGGAGGACTGGGTCTTTTTCTTGAGCGGAGATTCTAAGGAGCTGCTATGTAAAGGTTAATATACAACTATGTGGCTGGCCAAGAATGGCCTATGATCTCAAGCCCAGCCCTGAGGTTTGGCTCCCAACATATTCCCCCTTCCTTGTATAAAAAGAAGTGGCCAAATTTTTCAGCAGAGGGGGATAGAGGCCTGGCCCCCAACTGGAGAATCTATGTAGATTTTATAAAGGACAATTTTCTCTGACCTCGCAGATGACTTCTTGGAGCCATCTGAAAGGCAGGACCGTCTGGATGCCTTTTGTGGGGGTGGGGAAGCTTTAGGACATCGACCCCATTGGGCGCAGGCATATTCCTCTGAAGACAAGGTCTCCTTGCAGTACCATCCAGGTCTGCACCTCTGAAGCTGGCCGTGGGGAAGTTGGTTAGTTCCTCTTTGGAGGGAACAGCCCGAGATGGTTTATATTAGAGGGGCCAAAGTCATCCTGGGAAGAGGAAGACTTAAGTATTATACCAGGGCAAGCTTAGTGGCAGAGTCCACTTGTTGCTTGACAAATGCCACGGGTCGATTAAAGGCCCAAGGGTCAAAGGAGATTAGCAAGAGGAGCCCTATCAAAGGTCCAAGGCTTAAGTATTGTACCAGGACAGGCTTAGTGGCAGAGTCTACTTGTGGCTAGACAAAGGCCACAGGTTGATTAAAGGCCCAAGGGCCAAGGAGATTAGCAAGAGGAGCCCTATCAAAGGTCCAAGGAGGGAAGGGAGGAGGGTGGTTAACCATGTAGAAGTAGTAGGAATGGATAGAAGGAAGCAAAAAGGAGTAACAGGAGGTTATTTTCCCATATGAGTGAGCGAAGCCAGCCAAGCCAATCGTTGAGTCAGTTTCATCATGGTCATTTTCAGGAGAGTGTAGAATGGGTTGATCAGGACTTGGAAGGCAAGAAGGAGAGGTCTCAGATGGAGGATTGGTCTCCTGTCTGGATGTTGGGTTACTTGGGGTAGGAGAGGAGACTTGTTTCACAAGTCTTTCTGGAAGCCATCTAGGGGCTTCATTTTGTTGGTCATAAATGCAAGCTGAACCACGTCCCCAAAGGAGGACAGGATCTGGTCCATTCCAGGTACCTGTGAGGGGATCCTTCCATCTCACCATGGCATGAGAGGAGGAGGGGGTGGTGGGGTGCCAAAAGTGCTCTGAGGCCAAATGGCCATCGTGATCAAGTATCAGGAAATTAAGGACAAAAAGAACGTGATTGAGGATAAGTCGGGGAGTGTTGGGTTTGTGAGGTAGAGAGGAGTTTAATTTGAGGAGTGTATTTTTAAGTATTTGATGTGCTCCTTCGATTATACCCTGTCCCTGGGGATTATAAGGGATACCTGTTACATGTGTAACATGTGTTACATGTGTAAGGCAAAATTGTTTAAACTCAGAGCTGGTGTATCCAGGCCCATTGTCAGTTTTTATTTTAGTGGGCTTGCCTAAGGTGGACACAGTGGCAAGGAGATGGGCTATGACATCCTTGGTAGCTTCTCCTGTCTGAGGAGTTGCAAAGACGAAGCCACTAAAGGTGTCAATAGAGACCTGTACATATTTTAGGTTAGAGAAGGTGGGGGACATGAGTAACATCCATCTGCCAGAGGGCATTAGAGGAGAGCCCTCGGGGGTTTACCCCCAGGTAAGGGACAGGCAGAAGGGTAGCGCAGCCAGGCTTTAACAATTTCTCAAGCTTGATCACGGGTAATCTTAAAAGTGAGTCGAAGGGTGTGAGTGTTTAAGTGGTGGAGAGCATGGGTAGGCTTAATAGCTTCAAGCAGAGGGAGAATAGGTAGTATTGGGAAAATTGTTTCAGTTTCGGTTTATAGCGGTAGGCAAGTAGCGAGGTCTGCTTTGTTATTTCCATGGCTTAGGGGTCCCGGGATCTTTGTATGAGCATGTAGGTGCCTGATAAAAACTGAGACATCTCTTTGTCTTATTAAAGCTTGAATCTGTAGGAACAGGGAGGAGGCACTGGAAGTAGGTTTGATAAAAGGGGCTGTTTCAAGAAGAGGGATGGATTTTACGACGTAGGCATTATCCGTATACAAGTTGAATGGAGTATTGGAGAGCATGGAAAAGGCTTGTTTTATAGCAAAAAGCTCTACCAACTGGACAGGAGTATAAGGCATGTGAAAGGAATGAGTGTGATCATTGATCACCAGGGCTGCCATCCCGGAGGAGGACCCATCAGAAAAGACAGTAAGTGGTGTAGGGAGGGGTGTGAGGGAGGTTTGTTTTGGGAAAACAACAGGGGTGAATGAGAACAAGTTGAATGAGGGGATCATCCGGGTAATGATTATCAATCTGTCCAATGAAGGAGAGGCAGGATATGGCCCAGTCATCGGAGGTGTGTAAGAGGGAATTTACCTGCTCCATGGTGTAAGGCACAATGAGGAGCTTGGGGTCTTTGCCAAAATATTGTTTGGACTGTTTGCGGCCCTTGGTGATGAGCAGGGCAACAGACTCTGGATAGGCGAAATTGCCTTGCTTGAGAAGAGAGGCAGTGTCACCCAAAGTAGGGGGTTCCCTTTGAAGACATTGGTGGGGGTCTTTTGCCAAAATATTCCTATAGGATTGATGGGGGTGGCACAGACAATGAAATAGAGAGGCAAGGCAGTATCAATCTGAAAGGTTGCTTGATGGGAGATGGCCTTGTCAATGGCTGCAACTGCTTGTAGGGCTAAGGGAGCTAAGGTACGTGGGGAGAGGGGATGAAGGTCACCATTTAACAGATCTGTGAGGGGTTTTAGATTATCTGGACGAAGCTGGAGGTAGGGGCAGAGGAATTAGAGGTTGCCCAAAAATTGCTGAAGGCCATGAAGTGTCTTAAGGGAGGAGAGGTGTATTTGTATCTTGGGGGTGATGATCTGTTGGTTTCTAAGTTCATATCCCAAGTACAGGCAATGGTCTTGTGCTTGAATTTTTTCAGGGGCAAGGACAAGGGTGAACTTAGCGAGGGAGGTTTGTAGGTCCTTGAGACAGAGGAGGCTTTCTTCTCTAGAGGGGCAAGCCAAGAGGACATCATCCACATAGTGGAGGATGTAGGCTTGTGGCCATTTTGAGCGAATAGGCTGGATGGCCTATGCAATGAACTTTTGGGCTGGAGTAGGGCTGTTTGGCATACCTTGTGGAAGGACGTGCCATTGAAACCGTGTCATAGGCCCTTGGAAATTAATTTGTGGGAGGCTAAAGGCAAAGTATGCACTGTCTTCAGGGTTGAGCAGGATGGTAAAGAAGCAATCTTTTAAGTCAATGATGACTTTATGGTAATTGTGTGCAATGGCAGCAGGGGAGGGCAGCCCGGGTTGAAGGGCACCCATGGGTAACATGACTTTGTTGACAGCACAAAGGTCTTGAAGGAGACTCCATTTTCCAGATTTCTTTTTAATTACAAAGATGGGTGTGTTCCAGGGGGAGGTTAATAGCTCCTGCACTAGCTGGGTGGCTGCGGGAAGTTTCTCTTGGGTGAGAGGCCACTGGTAGACCCAGACGGGTCCTGATGAGCTCCAAGAGATTTTTTCTGCATGGAGGAGAGGGACCGGGTCCTGGGGTGCAGGGGGAGCAGTGGCCATCATGTAAAATGGTGTCCTAGACCATGTCTGTTGTTTTTAATTTGGGTCTGGATGGGGTCACGGCGACCGTGGGAGGCTTTTCCCAGCCCTTGGCCGGGTAGGAACCCTTGAGATAACATTTGTTTGGGTATGACTTCAATAGGTGAACACATAAAGACCTTCATTTGAGAGAGGATGTCACGTCCCCATAGGTTAAGGGACAGGCCTGTGACTACAAAGGGTTGTACCTGTCCAGTATTGCCCTCATCATCCTGCCAAGTAAGGATCTTGGAGCTTTGTTTAGGACTGGAGGTTTGTCCTATGCCCTGAAGATGAGTAAGGGAGTCGGTGAGGGGCCAGGCCATAGGCCAGTGGTGGGAGGCGAGTAACTGAGGCGTCAGCCCCTGAATCGAGGAGGCCCATAAAGGGCTTCCTGTCCAGGCGTAGGGTGAGTGTAGGAGAGGGGATCCGAGGCTGTCCCCGAAAAAATTTTCCCAGACCCCGAGGCGGTAATGGACATCCTTGAGCATCCATCTTGGAACGGCATTCATTCTTCCAATGGTGGCCACACATACAGCAGGACAGAGGGTATTTGGGAGACGGCCCAGAGGCAGACTTGGCTGGCATGAAGGAGTGGAGAGACTCGGGGGCTGAGGAGTAGCACTAGGCCTGGGGTACGGGCATTCTCTAGAGAAATGTCCAGGCTGTTTGCAATTAAAGCGGTTTTTTTTTTTTTTTTTTTGTAGGCCGCCTATGGCAGCCTTTTGTAAAGCTGTGCCAATTGTCAAGCCTATCGAATGACTGTTGCCTGCTCCTGCGCAAAGGTGCATATATGTGGAAAGGGATTCCTTATGGTGTTGTTTAAGAATATCTTGACAAGCCAGGCGTTGGTGGCGCACGCCTTTAATCCCAGCACTTGGGAGGCAGAGGCAGGCAGATCTCTGTGAGTCCAACACCAGTCTGGTCTAAAAGAGCTAGTTCCAGGATAGGCTCCAAAGCTACACAGAGAAACCCTATCTCGGAAAAAAAAAAAAAAAAAGAATATCAGAATATCTTGACAAGCTGGATTGGCGTTTTCGACCAAGAGTTGTTTAATAAAGGATTATCTGGCTCAGGTGTACCAAAGAGGCGTTCAACGTTCTCCGTGAGACAGCTGATGAAAGAGCTATAGGGCTCGTCAGGATCTTGGATGATCTTTGTAAGGGATCTTGTGGTGATGCCCTTCGGGGGGAGTTTGCGCCAGACTTCTAAACCTCCCTGTCTGATTTGCTCGAGGAGGCCTGTGAAGAAGGTGATTTGTGCCTCAAGGGTGTCAAAAGGGGGGTTGCCAAGGATATTGATAGCTGTCCAAGTACGGGACTCAGCGCCAGTAGCATTTTTTCTAGCCTTGTCTTTAGCCAGCTCGGCGAACTCAGATTTCCATAAAACAAAGTCACCTCCTTTTAATGTGGCTCTGGCTAGTTGATATCATCTATTAGGAGTGAGCAATGCCTCTGTAATATTTTCAAGAAGGGCGAGAGTGAAAGGGGCTGTGGGACCATAATTGGAGACTGCTGATTTAAGTTTTTCAAGAAATTTTAAGTCTAAAGGGGTATATTGCACAGGGAGGTTATCAGGGGGTTGTATAGGAGGGGTTTCTCCTCCTGAGGGGGCAGGAGTGTCAGGGGTATCATCTCCTGACTCCTCCCCGGAGGAGGCATCTGTTGATGGACGAGGAATTTGATTACCCCTATGAAGTGAAAGTGGAAGCACTAAGAGTGATTTTGAGGGCTTTGTCTTTTGTTTTGTTTTGTTTTATTAATGGGTTTGTGGGAATCCAAGGAGAGGGAAGTTAGGTTGCAAAGTTGAGCGTCTAAGTCTCTTAGTTTAGTAAGGAGTTGGATTTGTTGCTGTCTGCTTGAAATGAGAGCCTTTAAATGGTCTAGATTATATATGGTTTGGGAGCATTGGGTGGCAATATTACCCTGAAATATTAGGTCACTAAGTGTGGGATCGTAGAGTGGGGGAGCGAAGGGAGGTGGGCATTTATGGGATGGGTTTTTGTGACTTGGTGGGGGTACATTAGCAGTTAGAGGCAGCCAGTCAGGATTATGGTAGCAAGCAACCTCTTCTTCTAGGGTGGTGGCGTCAGGGGGTCCAGTGGGCGGGCCTTCATTGAAAGAAAGGAGGGGAAAGAACACATGTGTCTGTGGGGGGCAGAAGTCTCCTCCGGAGTCATCTGGATTTGGATTTCAGGGCATGAAGCCGGGATACCTTTGGGAGTCTGTGACTCAGACAAGTGGGGAGAAGGTCCAAGTTCCAGCGAGGGAGGGGAGGCACCATGGGGTGGCTGGGGAGTAGAGGGTTTATTTTCTGCCTCAGAGTTAGCTCAAGACAGGTGCTTAAGGATCTTTTCACCCTCCTTAACCAACTCTTGAAGATAAGGCCAATGGTTATGTACTTTGAGGATATCATTGATGAGATTCCAATAACTAAACACATGCACAGGGATTTTTTTCAGGCCCAAAAGTCTAATAATATTCTTGGAGGCAGTTTCCGACTCAAGCCCAATTTTCTCACTTATGGTCCCTTCTTGGGGAAACCAGCTACAGAGATCCCCAATGAAAAGGAAGAATTTTCTTAATTGTTTTTTCTTAACCCAAGTTCCCTGAGTCTTGACGGATTTTTTGACCCCAGAAATAAATCTTCCTTGCTAAATGCTTGTCCCATTACTCACCTTTTCCACGTTGGTGGTGCTCATGAACCAAAAGTCCCAAGCACTGGGAAGACTGCTGGGTCTTCCTCCAACTGAAGCTCACAATCGACCTTGTCGTGGACGCCTCACTGTATGGACGCCTCACTGCATGGATGGGCCCGTCGCTCTAATAAGCACTGAAGTTCCCAGATCCCCAACTCTATCCAGCCGCACGTTGGGCTCCAGTTGTCCTGACCTGCAGGACGTCAACCTGGGGCAAGAGAGTCAGGGGATGGGGACAAGAGATGCAGAAAGAACGACCACAAGACAGGATTCTGATCAAGTGGCAAACTTTACGTTTTTCTCAGGCTAGCTTATATAGTCAGGATATGGGGAGGGATAGAATGGGTTGTTTGTAAGACAGGTGTTAGTGTAGGCAGGGTATTAGGAAGCCACAAAGAGGATGTTTGGTAGGGTAAAGAGTTTATGAGTAAGAGGACCAGGAAGGGTTGCCTAGGTGACTTAGCCTGTGGGTGGAGGACTGGGTCTTTTTCTTGATCTGAGGTTAAGGAGCTCCTATGCAAAGGTTAATGTACAACTATGTGGCTGGCCAAGAATGGCCTAGGATCTCATGCCCAGCCCTGAGGTTTGGCTCCCACATTTTGGTGGTGGTCTGTTTTTGAGACAGGATTTCTCTGTAGCTTTGGAAGCTGTCCTGGAACTCACTCTGGGGACCAGACTGGCCTCGAACTCACAGAGATCCATCTGCCTCTGTCTCCCGAGTGCTGGGATTTAAGGCGTGTGCCACCACGGCCTGGCCAACAGTAACCTTACTTAGATATTACCTGTCACGATTCAGGAGGTCTCCCTTGATCAAAGCTGATCATATTAACCAGGAATGAAACCACAGTCTCTTGTATCCTGTGGAAACAAAAGCAAAACCTTTTCTCCAAAGCATATTTAAGTTTCACTTGACAAATAAATTTTTTGATTGCCATTTTAAAGTTAAGTCATTCTTAGAATATCTAGCCTGGTTTATTTCAGCAGTCCTTTAAATCCCATATCTTTTATCAGCTTTTGTTTGCTTAACAGCAATCAAAAAATTCAAAATCAACACTATTATATAGGATCCAGACTCCCTGTGTATTTCCACTGTTATATAGCTTTTTCTTTTATATTGCTTTTACTCTCTCTTTAAAGACTTTATGATTTTTTAAACTATTTCTTTCTATGACTGTCCAAACTCTTTTATTTCATTCTTAAGCCTATGCACATTGCAAAACACACTGGAACCAGTTTAGAGTTTTTTGTCCCATCTGGACCTCTTTTACTGCATATTATTTAGCCTTTTTTCACCATGTGAACAAACTTTAAACTGCTAAGCTATGGCTGGGTTCTTCATTGACAGGCATTGCCTGCTTCTATGTTTGTGAGAGCCAAGGCTAAATCTCAAGGCCTGGTCAGAGGTGCATTTGACCAGGAACTACATTCAAGCCCCCAGCTATGGAATGCTAGTGCTTCATACAGTGGCAGGAGTTTTTACTTTGTTTTTTAAAATTTCCACTTATCATGAAAACACTTGTTTACAATCTCTTCTTTACAAATTAAGAATTTCTTAAAGGCGACATATATTTCCCCCCTTTTCAGCTTCTCAGGCCCTAGGGATATTTAATCCTCATGGTGGTACACCAAAATACAGTTTTTTTTGGTTTTTGTTCTGTTTTGCTTTGTTTTTACTCCTTTGGGTATTGGATCTTTGGATATTTGGGGGGCCTGCCACCCACCTCCCCAACTAAATACATGGGAGCTTATTCTTTCTTATGAGTATGTGGCCTTAGCTTCACTTGTTTCTAGTTGACTTTTCTTTCTTTTTAAAAAATATTTTATTTATTAATTATGTATACAACATTCTGCTTCCATGTATATCTGCACACCAGAAGATTGCACCAGATCACATAACGGATGGTTGTGAGCCACTATGTGGTTGCTGGGAATTGAACACTGGACCTCTGGAAGAGCAGTCCGTACGATTAACCTCTGAGCCATCTCTCTAGCCCACTAGTTGGCTTTTCTTAAATTACCCCATCTACACCGCAAACAGACCAAACCTAAGAATAATAGGTGTAGAAGAAGGTGAAGAAACACTGCTCAAAGGTACAGAAAACATATTCAACAAAATCATAGAAGAAAACTTCCCCAACCTACAGAAGGATATGCCTATGAAAGTACAAGAAGCTTACAGGACACCAAACAGACTGGACCGCAAAAAGAAGTTCCCCCGACACATAATAATCAAAACACCAAATCTACAGAATAAA